CTGGAGCCTCTGGGGGCCTCTAAGAAGCCTCTCGCGGGAGCTGAAAAATGACAACAGTTTCACGGATGGGAGCCTTTCCGTTGAGAAGGGGAGCGCGGTGAAGGTAATCAAATGACGACAGTGACGCACTTGAGGCCCAAAATCGTCCCCGGGCACCTCGGGCGAGAAACCCCCTGCCGCACAGTACGGTGCGATTCCCCCTCCCCCCGCTGACCCGCCGGACCCCGGGATGGTGATTTTTGTGGTTTTCGCTTGTAAGAAACACTTCCCCCCCCCCTCTCGACGGTGACGGAAGGCAGGCGGCGGGGGGAGGCGGGTTGGCGGGGTGGCGGGTTGGCTGGGGTTGCGGGGTGGCTGGTTGGGCTGGTTGAGCCGGTTGAATTGTTTGGGTGGCTGGTTGGTTGGGCTGGCTGGCTGGCTGGTTCGGCTGGCTAGGACAATTGGTTTCGATTGTTGATCCCCCCTCACCCGTGCATACTGTTTTTTTGTCCGGGAAAATCTTGATGCTCAAACTGTGCCCATGGCCCCCCGGATTACAACAACGGCTCCCACCTGAGACTTCGTCCAAAGTTACTCAGGACCCCCGCGCCCGTCTGAGAATTCCTCACAATGTACTCAGGATCGGTGCTCCCGCTTGTGATTTCGTCGCAATTTAATCAGGACCCCCGCTCCCATCTGAGACTTCCTCACAATTTCCTCAGGAAGGGCGCTCCCGCTGGAGATATCCTCGCAATTGAATCATGACTTCCTCGCACTTTGATCAAGATCCCCGCTCCCGCCACGAGAGCCCCCTACGTTTTATTCAGGAGCTGCGCTCTCGCCTGTGAAATTCCATGCGAAGTATTAAGAAATCGCGCTTTCGACGCTCAGGAAACACGCTGCGCCAAGGACACCGTCACAATTTACTTCGGAATCGCGCTCTCGCCATACTCAGGCATCCCGCTTGAATGTCCCACCCGCCCGATCCGCCCGTCAGGGGATCGCCCGCCCGTCGTGGGTTCCCGCCCGAGATTTCCTTCAGGAACGGCGCTTTCGCCAAGGACTTCCTCGAACGTTCACGCTCGTACCTTCCTGTTCCTCCTCCCTCTCCCTCCTCCCTCCTCCCTCCTCTTCTCCCTTCTCTCTCCCCTCCTCTCTTCCCTCATCCTTCTGCCTCTCTGCCATATCCCCTCTCCCTCCTCTCCCTCCTCCCTTCTCCCTCCCCTATCCTGCCTCCTCCCTCCCTCTTTCTTTCTCTCTGTCTCCTCCTGTCTCTCTGTACCTCTCTTATTTTTCTCTCTCTCTCTCTCTCTAGTTATCTTTTTTTTCTCTCTCTCTCTCTCTCTCTCTCTCTCTCTCTCTCTCTCTCTCTTCATACATATATATATATACATATATGTATATGCATCATTTTTGTTTGTTCTCTCTCTCTCTTTCTCTCTCTTTCTCTGCCTCTAATCAACCGCCCCCCTCTTCTCTCCTTCTCTACTTGCGTTTTCCCTCTTCCTTCGTCCCTCCCCTCCCTTCCTCCCGCTCTCCCTCGCTCTCCCCCTCCTCTTCTTGCAGGGCCCACGCCAATTTCAATGGCGGGCACTTGTACGCCCACGAAGGATTGTCTGCCCGTTCACCCACCTGTCGAAGCCCGCCGCCCCCCGCAAAGAGGATCAATCCCCCAAAAGGTGGTGTGATCGAAAACAGAAAGGGCGGGTATCGAGGGTGTGGGGAACTCGTCTTGAATGACACACGGGCAAGTAAGAGCGACCAATCTTACAATGATTGTGGTTGTGATTGTTGTTGTTGTTGTTGTTGTTGTTGAACTCTCATTTCTGAAATAAGAAATATAATTATTGTGGATCCCTCCGCCAAGGCAGACTATTTTTCTCTATCAAAATGTGCCTCTCGACGCTCGTACCCGGTTCTTTTGATCAAGGGAAATCTTGAAGATCAAACTGGGCCCCTGGCCCCCGGGTTACAACAACAACGGCTCCCGCTTTAGACTTCCTCACAATTTAGCCATGACCCCCGTTCCCGCCCGAGACTTCCTCGCATTGTATTCAGGAATCGCGCTCTCGCCTGGGACTTCCTTACACTTTATTCAGGAATCGCTCTCCCGGCGCTCCGGAGTCGCGCTATCGCTGGAAACTTGCTTGCAATTTGCTGAAGACTAGCGCCCTTGCGTTGAAATTTCTTGCGATTTACTCAAGCGCCGCGCTTCCGACACCCAGGCACCCAGGAATCGCGCTCACGCTTGGGACTCCCTCGCAGATTACCTAGGAATCGGGATCTCGCTGCCCTTCGTGGCCCCGTTGCAGCCCTTTGTGGCCCCCTCGCTTTGTTTCGTGGCCCCGTTGCCGCCCTTCGTGGCCCCCTCGCTTTGGTTCGTGGCCCCGTTGCAGCCCCTCGTGGCCTCCTCGCTACCTTTCGTGGACCCGTTGCAGCCCTTCGTGGCCCCCTCGGTGCCCTTCGTGGCCCCGTTGCAGCCCTTCGCGGCCCCGTTGCAGCCCTTCGTGGCCCCCTCGCTGCCCTTGGTGGCCCCGTCGTATCCCTTCGTGCCCCCCTCGCTGCCCTTCGTGGCCCCATCTATGTATGCCCTTCGTGGCCCCCGCTCGTTCGCGCCCGTGGTGTCCCCATATGCATGCCCTCCGTGGCCCCGCTGTCGCCCGTCGTTGCCCCCTCGCTGCCCTTCGTGGCCCCGATGCTGCCCTCAGTGGCCCCGTCCTTGCCCTCCGCGCCCAGTAAACGTATGCCCGTCGTGGCCCCCGCTCGTTCGCGCTTTTCGTGGCCCCGTGTGCATGCCCTTCGTGGCACCGCTGTCGCCGTCTGTGGTCCCCTCACTGTCCTACGTGGCCCAGTTGCTACCCTCAGTGGCCCCATCGTTGCCTTCTGTGGCCCCGCATTATCTGCCCTTCGTGGCCCCCGCTCGTTCGCGCTCTTCGTAGCCCCATACGCATTGCCTTCGTGTCCGCGCTGTCGCCCTTCGCGGCCTACTTCGTGTCCTTGTGGCCCTGCTATCGTTCGCTCTCGCTCTCGCTTTCGCTCGTCGTCGTCGTCGTTGCCGTCGTCGTCGTCGTCGCCGTCGTCGTAGTCGGCATCGTCGTCGTCGTCGTGGTCGGTCCCCTGTCCGTCCCTCTTGGGGTCGGGTCGACGGTCCGCGGCCGCCCCGCCGATCAGCGCTGCCGCTGGCCAGGCCGACGGTCCGCGGCCGCCCCGCCGCTTGCCCACCCTGCTGAGAAGAAAGGTATACCCCCCAAAAAAGGTTCGATCGAAGACGAAGAGGGCGGGTATCGAGGGTTTGGGAAATGCGCGTTGTTGGACACTCGAGCAAATACGGGCGAACAGTCTTAAACTGAATGTTGGTGTTGATGTTGGTGTTGTTATTGTTGGTGTTGTTGTTGCTGCTGCTGATGTTTTTTGTTATGTTTGTTGTTGTTGTTGTTGGTGTTGTTGTTGTTGTTGGTGTTGTTGTTGTGATTGGTGTTGTTGTTGTTGGTGATGCTGATGTTGTTGTTGTTGTTGGTGTTGTTGTTGTTGTTGGTGTTGTTGTTGTTTGTTGTCGTCGTCCCCCTCGCGACCCACCCGCGACCCACCCGGCGACCCACCCCACGAACCGCCCCGCGAACCGCCCAACGACCCACCCCGTGACCCAACCCGCGACCCAACCCGCGGCCCCCCCGCGACCCATCCCGCGACCCACCCGCGACCCACCCGCGACCCACCCGCGACCCAACTCGCGAGCCACTTGCGGCCCCCCCGCGACCCATCCCGCGACCCACCCGCGACCCACCCGCGACCCACCCGCGACCCAACTCGCGAGCCACTTGCGACCCACACGCGACCCACCCCGCGACCCGCCCGCGACCGACCCGCGACCCATCCGCGACCCACCCCGCGACCCACCCCGCGACCCACCCCGCGACCCACCTCGCGACCCACCCGCGACCCACTACCCACCCTGCGACCCACCCGCGACCCACCCGCGACCGACCCATATCGGTTTGAAGAAAAAAAAAAACGACGCCTGCAGCGGGCTCGTTATGTAATTTGTGAAACTTTGGCGCCTGCGGCGGGCATCTCCAGAGTCTCGCACACTGCCGACGTCCCCACCGCCCCCTCACTCTTATCCGCATCTGCAGGGTGCTACGTGTGTATCTATACACATACATCTCTGTGAATCTGTTTCTATACACATATACACTAATATGCATATACGTAGCACCCCGCAGATGCGGATAAGAGTGAGTGGGCACTATACTTACAATCTGCATATACGTAGCACCCCGCAGATGCGTATAAGAGTGAGTGGGCGGGCGCGGGGTGGGTCGCGGGTGGGTCGCGGGTGGGTCGCGTGTGGGTCGCGTGTGGGTCGCGGGCGGTTCGCGGGTGGGCCGCGGGCGGGTCGCGGGCGGGTCGCGGGCGGGTCGCGGGCGGGTCGCGGGTGGGTCACGGGGTGGGTCGCGAAAGGGGCGATGACAACAACAACCGAAATACAACAACAATCCGCACTGCGGAACCTTGCTTCAGCCACGCACCCACGGACAGTGAACGACCGTTCGGCCCCATGCATACGTATATCCATGTGTATATATATATATATATATATACACGTATATCTATAGTTGAGTGTAGGTCTGGGACCGTAAGAGTGCAGAGCGAGGTGCGAGGGCATACCACATAAACGAAGATCAGAGATAAAGAAAGAGAGTGAGAGAGAGAGAGAGAGGAGGAGAAGGAGAGGGCAAGCGCGGAGCGCGTGCAGAACTCCCAGGAAGTCCACGGAATGTTTTTTTTTTGTCCCCTGGTGTCATTTGGATCTTCCTGCTGCGCCGCTCAGAATGCGGGAGGGCCGGGGACCGGTTTTTCATCCTGAATCGTTTTTGTTGACGGTCCTGAGGCCTGGCGAGGGTCCCTGAAGGCCGAAAAGAATGAGGAACCTCCCGTCGTGATTTTTTCCACAGCGCGATGTTTTCAGAATCCGCTCAGAGGGGCCAGGTGCGGCTGCGCAGCTGGCGGCACGGGCGAGCTCCTGCCAGCCAGCCGTAGAAGCCAAGCAGGAGGAAGAACTTGTGGTTCCCTATGCCGACGCAGTTGCTGATCCACGGGCAGTGGTGGTCCATCTGCCCAGGCCAGTAAGAAAGAGGGCTGCAGAAGAGGTGGCGAAGGGAGAGGAGCAGTCGCCGCCGCTAATCTTAGGTCGGGCCTGTCCCCCTACCGGGGGAATTTGGACGCAACATGAAAAATACAAAAATGCTCCAAAAATGCACCAACTACTTTTTACTATTTTTGAATATTCCTCCTGTAGAGGGACAGGCCCGACTTAACACTAATCATGAGGATGTGAAATAAAGGTGCAAGTTTAAAGTGCTGGCCAGCGATCCTGGCTAAGTAAGAACGGGCCGAGCAGGGAAATATGTAAGGGAATCTTTGGACAAACATCTCAGTTCGGACAGATGCCTCATTCATACCATGGGCGGTGACAGGAGGAATGGCGATCAGGAAGGGAAGGAGGAGGACCAGGAGGAGAATGCGCAGCAGCAGCAGGGTCAATGTCAGGAGGAACAGAAGGATGAGGAAGATCGGAAGAACGAGGAATACAGGAACGCCCGTGCACCATCAGTCAACATCTAAGTGCCCGAAATCACTTCAGACATCGCCACCGCCAGTGTCCAACGCTGCACATATGACGCGACGGCCGTCACAGGTACGGGGAAGCCAGTCATGCCCGGACGCCGACGTCTGAACTGCAGGCCCTACTTCAAATGTTTGGCGCTCCGCGCGGAGCGCCAACACTTTATGCTTACAGCGTCTTCCCGAGAACTTGGGTGTCACGCCACTTCCCGCTTCCTGCCACCGCTCGGACGCCCCTTCCCCGTGCCCTTCTCGGTGTCGTGCGCGCTCTCGCTGGCGCGGCGGTCGAGGCTGCTTCCATAGAGGGCCCTCGCCGAAGGAACATGCACGCGACCCAGCGATGCCAGGGCTCCGCGCGAGCGGCCGCGGCGAGCCTCGGCAGCGCGCAGCCTCACCCCGACCTGGACGCCTGGGCGCCGCGGCCCGAGGAGCCCGAGCCCCTCCCGAGAACCCCCCCCCCCCCACGGGCGGCGGCCCCTGCACGGCAGGGCCCTGACTAAAGAAAGGCCTCGGCTCGGGCAGAGGGAGGCCAGATCGGGGCGTCGCTGCAGCCGCCCGACGACGACGACGCCGATCACGATGACATCACGACGACGACGATCACGACGACGACGATCACGACGATCACGACGACGACGATCACGACGACGACGATCACGACGAAACCGACGACGATCACGACGACGATCACGACAACGACGACGACGACGACGACGACGACGACGACGACGACGACGACGACGACGACGACGACGAGGGGCGGCGCCGCGGACGACGCCGACGACGAGCGATTCAAGGGCCCATCGGGGCGCCGTTGCCAGCCCGAGGGAGCTCCTGGCGGAGGCCACCCAGACAGGGGCCCTGGCCTCCCAGACCCTCGACGTCGTGTGATTCTTTCACTCGGGAGCGGCCAAGAGGGGGGTGTCCAAGAGGGGGGGTGCAAATCATGACCGGCGGCATTGGCACGGCCCAGCGGGGGGGCCAGGGACGTAATGAAATAAGAAAAGGCGCCTTGAAATCTGGGAAACATCATGGCCCACGCCATGATATCCAGACCCCCCTAGTCAACACCCCCCTCTTTGCCGCCCCCGAAGCGTTGGCTCCTAAAAATCTGTGCACCCGTTCCCCGGACCAATTTCTTCTCGTCCTATGAGCCGTTTTTTCGCACGGCCCCCGCGGCCGGCAGAGGTCCCACAGACCGAACATCGCAGGACCCCCCCCCCCCGGCGTGATTTTTTCACGACGCCAGGAGGAGGAGGAGGAGGAAGAGGACGAGGGGGAGGATGAGAACGAGGATGAGGTGGAGGGGGAGGGAGGGGGGGAGGAGGAGGTAGGTGTAGAGTAGGGACCAGGAGGGGAGGAGGAGGAGGAGGAGGAGGGATGAGGAAGGAGGACCAGGATGGAAGGAGGATGGAGGAGGAGGAGGAGAACCAGGGGGAGGAGGAGGAGGAGGAGGAGGACCAGGAGGAGGAGGAGGAGGACCAGGAGGAGGAGGAGGAGGAGGAGGAGGAGGAATGGATGGGGCAGGAGGGCCCAACCGCCTCGCCGATGCAGCGGCGATGCGGCGGGACCCTCCCGCCGTCATCGGACCCCCGTGCCCTGCCTGGGCGGCCCTGGGCTCCCGGCGGCGCCCGCATCACGACGATCACGACGACGACGACGACGACGACCACGAGAACGACGACGACGACAGACGCCGACGACGACGCCATGCTGACGCCGACGCGGACACCGCGGCCGCCGGCGGCGACGACGACGACGACGACGACGACGACGACGACGACGACGACGACGACGACCACGACGACGACGACGACGACGACGAACCCCGGCGCGCCCGCATCACGCACATGTCGCAGGTGAGGCAATGGTGCGCCCTCTCCGGGCGCGGGTTGCCGCACTTGTCGCAATACGTCGCCCGGCCCGGCTGCCACGCGTGC